AGATCCTGGGCAGCGGGTGGCCCGTGGCGCTGCACTCGAGCGTGACGCTCTCCCCGACCAGCACCTCCGTGTTCTGCGGCTGGATTACAAAAGTGGGTCGAGCTGTCACAATGAAACACAATGAATTAATCCCTCGAGTTCGGCATCCGTTGTTTCCTTGTTTTTCTGTGTTCATGCGACTCATTCTGTCTACTGACCTCTAAGCTACTGTCAAACAGACGCGACTTAATCACCTATTTTCCCGTCTTTGTTGTTGTTTTTTTAAAGAAATGCACAGAAAATAAAAGCGGCCCCTGCCCTGGGTCTCGTGAGGAGTGGGCCCATGAGCGAGGGGGGGTGAGTTCTTCTCCAAAAGGACAAGGCAGCAGAGCCTGGTTTGGGCTTTTCCTGAATCCGTTCTGTCACTCTGGCTAAGCCTCTCTACGGTTCTTATCGGTAAAGCACTGTTTTCAAAGTGTAGTTAGAACATCTACAACAGTAAGTTTCACAAGTTAAAACTACACTGAGACAGCCCTCGCCGATTTGACTCCGTGGCTAGAGCATCAGCCTGTGGACTGAAGGGTCCCGGGTTCGATTCCCCGTCGGGGCATAGGCCTAGGTTGTGGGCTCGATCCCCAGTGCGGGGCGTGCAGGAGGCAGCCAATCAACGATTCTCTCTCATCATTGATGTTTCTCTCTCTCCGCCTCGCCCTCCCCTCTGAAAGCAACAGAAAAATATTTTTAAAAACCGACACGTACATAAAGGTCTCATTCAATCGCTGTGTCATTTCTTCCGACCGACACCCTCGTCCAGGATCCCGGACCCAACATGACCTCATCGCTTGTTTACAAAGGTCGCGGCCACTCGCGTCCTCATTTCTCCGCTGACCATTCACACCAGAGGTGGGGATGTTTACGGACAAGCCGAGTGGCTCTTCTGAAAGAAGCTCCCAAAGTTCTGCATTTAACCCGCACCTGGCTCAGCGGTTTTGGCTTTTGTCCCCCAAGTCTGTGATAGCAACAGACTTGGGGGGCAAACCCTACACGTTCCCGAAAGGGGCCGGCGAAATGGATGTGTTCCAGCCTCTGCGACTCCCGGAGGCTTAGGAGTCAGGCTGCAATTACTCCTATAAATTGTCACTGAGCCCGGACGGCGTGGCTCAGTGGTTGAGCATCAACCTGTGAACCAGTCAGGACACAGGCCCAG